TCTACTGCATCCTTCATCCGGTTCAGCAAAACTCTGTTGAAGACCTTCCCTGGTATTGACAGTAGTGTTATGCCTCTGTAGTTTTCACATTTGCTCAGATCTCCTTTCTTTGGAATCTTGACGAGGTGCCCTTCTTTCCAGTCCATTGGCACTTGTTCCTCCTCCCAAATCTTTTTGAATAGAGGGTAAAGCATGCTTGTGGTTACTTCGACGTCTGATTTCAGTGCTTCAGCTGGTATGTTGTCGGGTCCTGCTGCTTTCCCGTTCTTGATTTGTCTGACGGCCGCTCTAATTTCTTCCGTCGTTGGTGGGTTGACATCTATAGGAAGATCTATGTGTGCTGCTTCGATGTTCGATGGATTCATAGGAGCCGGCCTATTCAGGAGTTCCTCAAAGTATTCTACCCATCTGTTACGCTGTTGTTGAATTTCAGTGATTGGCTTGCCTTCCTTGTCTTTGACCGGCCTCTCTGGTTTATTGTATTTCCCTGATAGTTTCTTCGTTGTATCGTAAAGTTGTCTCATATTTCCTTCTCTAGCAGCTTTTTCTGCCGTCGTTGCTAATTCTTCCACGTATTTCTTCTTGTCAGCTCTAGTGCTCCTCTTCACTTGCTTGTTTGCTTCTATGTATTCAGCTTGTGCTTGGACTTTCTCTGCTCGTGTTCGGCTGTTGTTTATTGCTGCCTTCTTGTTCTTCCTTTCTTTGATCTTGTCCAGTGTTTCTGTAGAGATCCATTCCTTATGATGGTATTTCTTTAGACCGAGAACCTCTTGACACGTTGAAGTTAATGCTTCCTTGATGCCTTTCCAGTTGTTCTCCATAGTAGTTTCTTCTTCTTTCAGTAGATCTTGTAAGGCTTGGAACCTGTTGTTGAGAGCTATCTTGAATTCATTGAGTTTGACAGTATCTCGAAGGAAGGCTGTATTGAACCTTTGTATTGCTGTTTGTCCACTTGTCCAGTTCTTTTTTAGCTTCAGTTTCAAATTGGCTACAACTAGGTGGTGATCTGAAGCTACGTCAGCTCCTCTCCTGGTTCTCACATCTTCCATTGTCCTTCGGAATTTTTTGTTGATGCAAATATGGTCTATCTGGTTCTCTGTAGTGTGGTCCGGTGAGATCCATGTAGCCTTGTGTATACGCTTGTGTGGAAATATTGTGCCTCCTATGACCAATTTGTTGAATGCACACAAATTTGAAAATCGTTCTCCATTTTCGTTCCTCCCTCCCAGTCCATGTTGCCCCATAATATCTTCATATCCGATGTTGTCTATTCCGACTTTGGCATTTAGATCTCCCATTAGAATGGTGAGGTCCTTTCTTGGGCATTTCTCAATGACTGACTGCAGCCGCTCGTAGAACTGATCTTTAATGTCGTCGTTGCTATCATTGGTGGGTGCATAACATTGGATAATATTCATTAAGATCCCCTCCTTCTTTGTTTTGAATGATGCTTTGATGATTCTGGATCCGTGGGATTCCCATCCTACAAGTGCATTTCGTGCTACTTTGGACAGCATTAGAGCAACTCCCTGAGTGTGTGGAGCATTTTCCTCTTCGTGACCGGAGTATAGCAGCATCTCTCCCGTAGCTAGTCTTTTCTGTCCAGCTTGGGTCCAGTGAGTTTCGCTGATCCCCAGTACTGCTAAGTTGTATCTCCTCATTTCCATTGCTATTTGACTGGTCTTCCCGGTTTCCCACATTGTTCGGACGTTCCATGTACCTATAAAAATTTTTGCTCTGGTTGTTAGAAGGGGCATCGGCCTCGTGGCTTCCGAAGGAACTCGGCTTTCACCATGAAGCGTCATAATTCTTCTAAATGAAGACCTTCTAACTCTCAGGGCAGAGTTAAAATGGTTTGAATTATTTTTTCTGGTAAGCGTTTTTTTAGCGAGTTAGTTTTCTACGGGATGGGGACGCTAACCCCATGCCCAACCCTCCTCCTTTACCCGGGCTTGGGACCGGCAGTAACTCTAGAAGAGCTACAGGCGGAGTTGTCATTACTCGACACCCTTCAATTATTTTGCATATTATTTATACTACTCAATAATATTCAGTAGGTAGCTGCATTTTCACCAATTTCTACGCAAATGCGATGAAAATGATCTTGGTGGTCTAGTAATAGTATTCCGACACAAGACAGTGAATGGTTTTGAGAGTTCTTTAAGCCCTAACGCTTCAGGCTGAGCTATTTTGTTTACTACCCTACATATGTGTTGTATGCAGTATAAGAAGTAGTGCTATGTAGAGCGGAAGTTCTCATATGAGACTAGAGGTTCGCCATTGATATTGTGGATGATTTGGCAAATTTTGCTGACTGTTCATGCAAAAATTTGGTTTGCTGGTTAACCGATTTCATTTATACACATATGCAGTAATTTACTCAATGAAATAAACCATCTGTATAATGAAAATAACCTTGTTGCTACTATGTTAAACTTAGCAGTGACTCACTCATAAAGATATTTGGCAAAGAACAGTGGTTGAGAGTTGTACTATTTTCAGTTATAACTTATGTTGTAGCTATTGACCTAGAGTTCACCTACTGAAACCATAGCGAGCGTTGAAACTTTTCATCCGGGCGATGATAATCTCTCAGCTTGACAAGTACTATATTTCACTACTCCAATCCTAGAAGTTCATCAACCTTAATTCGTAGTTACCATATAACAGTTCTAGGGCTCCAAACGCCTAACTAGTAACTTCTTATTACCTTAATCGTTACGATTCAATCAGTAGTGGGAAGGACTTAATATACTCGATATTGGTTACAATTATACTCTTCTGATCAGCGCCAAATTGCACAAAATCTTGAACACCAGTATTCAGTCAACAATCTCCAACTATCATCTTACATTTGAATTTAGTTTACGCGATGTCAAGTCACTAGATTTTTAGAGTCCACATTGCCACTTGGTCAATGGAATACTATCAGGATGTATAACAACAGAATCAAGATTTATATTTTATCAGTGGAGTCAATTACATCTATATCCAGTAACAGCGTTCAACAAACCCTTATAAACCTCTCCCCTACAATCCATTTTTCATCAGTTTGTATTCATTTTACATTTAAGACAACGTTGTTTTAAGAACAAATAAACTTTCTTATAAAACAGTAACTAACATGACTAATCATAAAGTAGAAACGTTGAACAAAATGGAAGTAGAATTCATACAACTCAGTCATTCAAAATCACACTATTTTATCTATTCTTTATGAGAATTAGCTTCAACAGTATACAAGTTCATACATGACACGTTTGGGGTCACATTCTTCTGTAAAGTACAGTCGATTGATTATGGAAATAGAATTGACTGTTCGTTACTATTGAACTTTATGATTGTCATATTGACCAGATGCCAAAATATTGCTCTAACACATAAATAAACTAATTCACTATTGTGTTGTATTAATTTTATATAAATTGATTGTGATTATTTATGTAAATAAGGGTGAACATTACTGTCCTGTCGTTAAAATGTAAATACAATGATTACTGGATACTATCACATAACATTAACAATGAGCAATTAGATTTGGAAGAACTGTAGCACACCAATATTGTACCTCATTTCCATGATATTCGAGCAATGGTCAAAGAATTCTTTATAATTTAGACAGCTGTGTAGCGGTAAATAGATCCCTAAGTTCAATAGCTCTGTAGGTCTTCGACATTTGATGCTGACCACATTAGTTTTAATGGACTCACCTAGTCGAATGTGCTCAGTCACACATCCGCACCACATCACGTGGGAACGCTGTGCTCAACTTCTCCTGCAACCGCTAGCCAGTGTTGATCAGTCCCTTCTCCATATGTTGACAACCTACCTAATGTATCTTCGAATCTCCTAGCTTCAGACTATTGATTCCACTGGGTGGACACAATTCAATTACAGAATGTATTACTGGTTAAAACGTTGTCAAACCACAAATAACTGTGGCATCATCAGCTGTATCACAAATGTCTAACTTAGCTGATACTTAGATTCTTAAACATAAATTCTACCAAGCAAAACTATAGTTTTTTCGTTTCGATGTGAGGGGAAGCGATTGCAGGAAATATCAACCCTGTAAAATGTATATTATCAGACGATGAATGTTGAAATGCTCATTGGTAAATTAATAATTCATCTAAACGAACCATATTTTTATATGTTGAATATGTAGATTGTACTGAATTGAAAAAACCTCCTGACAAACATCTCCATCAAGCAGATTGTCACGATTTGTTAAGAGTAGTTTTGTGATTGCTAACATCTCAAAATCATTACAATAACGACAAACTATCTCACATTTACAATAATCCACAACTATTTGATGCAAATGACAATGGTTACACAGTTTGGAAATGAAATTATATCAGTCAGTCAGCTACAACGTAGGACCAGGCACATATATGCATCGGTACAAGTTGCCAAACCTCATTAGCACAACAAAATGAACACCGAATTCATAGAAGTAGTTACTTCACTGGTAGTAATATATAAAAAACGATTGTATATAAGGATATGATGCGGGGAGGAATTAGTTCGCAGAAAGTAAGTAATCTCAAGGTTTAAGTGAAGGCAGAGAGTGTATACACCGACGCCATTGTGATCGGTTCTGAGACAAGTCACACTGTCTTCGACCATTGGTTACGATAGTCACGCGGAACACAACCAAGTAGTCTGTATCTACCAACATGGCTAAGACTAGAAATTAGTGACCTCAAGCTTTGGCCGCCCCTAAGATTTACAATCTTATCAACTGATTTACTATTAATCCCTGATATGTTGCGTCTAACCTTGATTATAAACTTCAGTTAAATGTCTATGCCGCCGTCGTCGCAACTAACACCACTGTAAAATCATTCAGGCAGAACCTGACGACTTCGACACAGCTAAGTAATTCACAACAATTAGCCAACAAATAGAAGCAAAGATCATACGGCATATTCGCTACGACAACTAGCATTTCAACTTAATGTTCCACAGTTAGCCGAAGATAATGCAAAAGTATGTTTAAAGGAATACACATAAGAATACGTTTGTCAGAACACTGATTAAATATAGAGAGCACTTGTGATGGTGTATAGATAAAATTATCACCGTTTTTTAAAATTACTTGTTATTCATTAGTCAAGGAATAGTGAAGTTCAAAATATGCAGTTTGATATAATTTAGTAAGCACAAAAATCATTGTTCTGGAAGGTTTCTTCGTATATCATACCACACTAGTCATTCACTGGAGTCGTAACGTGTCCCAGAAATATTGGTAGAGTATTATTCCAGATAGTCGAAACGAAGAATGAATGATCAACACGAAATTCTACCTCAGATTCGGGAGATTCAGAGTCACATCCATCGAGCATATACACCGTTGCTGCAGCAGCTACGACACCTTCCTCATCAATCTGTACAGAATGATAAAAGAAGTCAACAAAAATCAAACTGAAAGTAAACTGATGCATGTTACACTCAGACAGAAGTTGTTTTATTCAATACTTTATGTTTGATCGAGTATGAAATTCTTAGCAAAAAATAATGTAGCACTTCAAGAAAGGCTGATTTCAGCTCATTAATTACATGTTTTAATTATTTCCACTAGTTATTTGTTTGACCTCCGACAAAGTCATTTTGCTGTACACAGTCCAAATTCCAAAGACAGAATGGAACACTATTGCTTAAACATGAACTAAAACAGCTATTAATAAATACTATTTCCGTAGAAGAGGACACATGCTTAAAGGCCTTTCCGTCAAAAAACCCCAATGAAATACTGAATACAAAACAACACCATCAAATTTCAAAATTTATCTCATAACTTAAATCGAATAGCTCTGAAGATAACAAGAACCAAAGTTGAAATATCAAAACCATGCTTGAGTTTCATTAATTCTGACTTCCCAGTTGAAGGAAGACTTATGACGCCTCATAGTGAAAACCGGGATTTTTCGCAAGTCACAAGGCCAATGCCCCTCCTAACAACCAGAACAATTTTTTGGTACATGGAATGTTCGAACAATTTGAGGGACCAGGAGGACCAGTCAAGTAGCAACGGAAATAGGGAGATACAACATAACAGTGCTCAGAATAATCGAAATCCATTAGACCCCAGCTTGACAAAAATGGCTAAATACAGGAGAGATACTGCTGTATTCACGTCACGAATAAGAAGATGCTCCACACACTCAGGGAGTTGTTCTGATGCTGTTCAAGGAAGCACGAAATGCACTTATAGGATGGAAATCTCATGGCCCTAGGATCATCAAAGCATCCTTCAAAACAAAGGAGGGAATCACAATCAATGTTATCCAATGTTATGCACCCAACAATGATAACAGTGATGACGATAAAGACCAGTTCTACGAGAGGCTGCAGTCGATCATAGCGAAGTGTTTAGGAAAGGACCTGAACATTCTGATGAGAGATCTAAACGCCAAAGTCGGAATGGACAACAACGGTTATGGAGATATCATGAGACAACATGGACTAGGAGAAAAGAAAGAAAATGGGGAGAGATTTGCAAACTTATGTGCATTCAACAAACTGGTTATAGGCGGACAATATTCCCACACAGAGCTACATGAGTCTCACCGGGCGGAACACTACGAGGAACTCGTGAATAGATCAGCTCCATTGAATCCACCGGATATCGAAGCAGCACACAGACCATCCTATAGATGTCATTCCACCAACGATCGAAGAAATCAGGATAGTCATTAGGAAAATCAAGAGGGTAAAGCAGCAGGACCTAACAATATACCAGTCGAAGCACTAAAGTCAGACATAGACGTAACTGCAGACATGCTTTACACTCTATTCAGCAAGATTTGGAGGGGAGAAGAAGTGCCGATGGACTGGAAAGAAACATACCTTATCAAAATATCAAAGAAAGGAGATTAGAGCAAATGTGAGAATTACACAAGCACATTACGGAGTACCTGACAACATCTTCAACATCATCCAGAATTCGTACGACGGAATACACTGCAATGTCGTGTATGGAAGGCTGACAGACGCATTTCAAGTGAAGATCAGAGTTAGACAAGGCTGTGTACTCTCGTCATTCCTCTCTTTTTTTGGTGGTTGACTGGATTACGAAGATATCGACATCTGAAGGGAGGAACGGAATAAAATCGACAAATCGGAATCAATTAGAAGAGTTGGACTTGGCAGATGACCTGGCCTTTCTATCCCATACACATCAACAAATGAAGGTTAAAACAAACAGTGTAGCTGCAGCCTCTCAATCAGTAGGACTCAACATACACAAGGGTAAAAGCAATATCTTCAGATACAACACAAAGAACACCAACGCAATCACACCTGATGAAGAAACTCTGGAAGGGGTGGAAACATTCACGTATCTGGGTAGCGTCATCGATAAACAAGGACGATCTGATGCAGACTTACGGGCGAGGATTGGCAAAACAGGAACAGCATCCCTACAGTCGAAGAACACATGAAAGTCAAAACAACTGTCAACCAACATCAAAGTGAGAACCTTCAATACGAACACTAAGATAGTTCTACTGTACGGAGCTGAAATTTCCAGAACTACCACAACCATAATCAAAATGGTACAAGCATTAATAAACAGCAGTCTACATAAGATGATCAATATCCGTTGGCTGGATACCATCAGCAACAGTATATTGTGGGAGAGGACAAACCAGCTTCCAGCTGAAGAGGAAACTAAGAAAAGTCACTGGAAGTGGATACGACACAGTTGCGGAAATCATCAAACTGCGTCACAAGGCAAGAGCCTACTTGGAATCCTAAAGGGAAACGGAAAAGAGGAAGGTCAAAGAACGCACTGAGTCGAAAATTGGAATCACAAATCAGAAGGATCAATAGCAACTGGAAACGACTGCCCAGGACAGAGTTGGATGGAGAATGATGGTGGGAGGCCTATCCTCCTTCATGAGGGGCAGCATGCGTAAGTTGAATATGATGCAAATTACCCATTTATTTGTAGGCTTCTGTCAGCTTTAGTTAGGTTAGCATTATTTAAAGCTGTATCTCTGTCATTGAGTTGCTCGTAATCCAGTTATCAGACTATGCAATCAAAACACTGCATTCAACAAGATGTAAGCATTAGAACACCATAGGTGCTTTATGGTCAGGTCGAAACAAACATTTTAAAACAGATACATTAATAATCAAGCTTATTTCGGATCTTTAAATGGTATCTTGATAGCTCGCGATCCCAAATCTGGTAAGATGACCATAATGAAACAGGATAGATTATACATTAACTTCAAGTTCATTGTTGATCCGTCAAGTTTGAAGAAATCGCTGTCGTGTGAATCCTCCTTACGGAAATGTGGACCCCATAAACCTGTCAAAGGTAATCACACATAGAGTTGACAGCAGATATAAAACACAGTAATAAAAAAATAAAAACTCAGGTAATAAATGTTTGATTTGAATATATAAATAATACTACCTTCAAAGTATGTAGTGGATAGCACAACAGCTGACGTTTCTTGCAATAAAGCCACACGTGGGATCAGTTCCTGGATTGTTCCGTTGGTCTGTTCACTAACCTACTGATTAATTCGATTTCGAGCACATTCAGGATCTCTATGAAACGCAACCTACACAAACTTTGATACGGCCGAATTCATACTCACATGCTCAGTCAGTGCATTGTAATGCTGGTTGATGATATTTCTAAATCGTTTCTCAATTTGCACATCCTCATTTACATAGAATCTATTTTCAATGATTATCTCAACACTCTCATCAGGCTTCGAAAAATCAGCCAGAAGTTTACCAATCGCGCTGTGGATTCTTTCCTGTTCCAAGCAATCAGATAACTGCATCGCTTTTATCAACTCGGCATTCGTATTGTTTGCACTTCCAGAGAGGATCATTCCGAGGGCAGTATAGATATTGAAAGGGGAGAGAAATGTATTCTACAAATAACCTGGAAGCAACAAATACATATTGAGGGACGCACTTACCCTCGTTTCTTTTCAAAGTCTCCCTATAAAGCTTTTCGCTGAAGTTTCCAAGGGATTGTATTACATCCATCACGGTTGAAATTAGTGTCAAATTGTCAGCTTGAAAAACTATTTGTAGTGGAAGAACACTACAAATAGTACGTGAATAAGTAATTATTAAGAACTGCGAAGTGATAATAGGATATTATAATATAGTAAGACGTTTTACATCATGCAGATGCTTTAACTGGTTCAGGTAAATGCGATTTCCTTTATGAACATGGTAGCTTGGTGATTTCGACCATTCTTTTAGTTTTATTCCAGAATATACTTCAACCGAAAGCATTAATTGTTTCATCATATTAAAGACTTAGTAAAAGCCTTTGTTTTCACTCTTTGTACTGTAGCTGATATGGTACATCTCATATTTCGCTCTCAAAATGCAGCGAAGTTGAAACTTAAAGGAACTAGTTGTATTAAGCCGTCTCAAACACTCTGATCAGTGATTATACCAAAACATGTCTAACTGTTTATAAAAATCCAAAATGCTTTGGTCAACTATGTCGTTACTTTCGATTTATTGGATCAGTTGTTACGATTTTATCTCTTTACCGACGGTATTTTCTTAATGAGTCCTACCAATTAATATTCATTGCATGTTCATCCAAAAATCATCAAAATATTTAACAAACAAGCGAAAAATTACGCTTCATAGTTTCTATTTTAAATGATAAAATAATTCGTCACAAACAAATAAAACCAAACAGTCCATGGTTGCAGGAATTACTAGAAGAAACAGGAGTTTCTTCAGCTCAGTAATGAAGTGCAAAGCAAGGTCAACATAATTCACAGTTTTAAATTTCCTCCACTTGAAGGTCAGTCTACAGTAATAAGAATAGTAGAATGGTGGACCTGTGTTAATTCTAACATTGTGCCTTCCAGTGAAGGTTCAGCTTCTCCTTGAAAATTTTCACTGGTAAGGCTGATACCACTTGTTCCGGTAAAGTGTTACAGTCATTGACCACTCGATGAGAAGAACGGAACCTCACTTTAAGTTTATTAGGTCTCTGTTTGTAAACCTCTTTGTTATGACGTCGGAGATTTTTATTGTTAGAAGGAGCAAAAAATAAGACATATTTACACCCAAATCGTAACCAATTATACGAAGTGCCAATATAATGTCACCTCGCGTCCTACTATACGACAAGTTGGAGATGTTTAGGAGTATTAAGCGCCCGTCATATGGAAAGTTTAGAAAGACCCTTGACTGACTACGTTCCCACACGCCTAACACGCTGAAGCGAGTGACCATCCTTGGTCGGACATGGGACAGCTGCTTGAATACAGCACTCTAAGTGTGGTCATACATAGATGGGATATAAAATTCGAAACATCCCATCAACCACTAACATGCGCCTCCCACATGATTGATTGAACACGAAAGTGATCCCTAACATACTACATTATGTCTCCTCACTTGGCGTTTATAACCCTATCACCTATAATAAAGATGTAGCCTGCAGTGACAGGAGAACAGTTAATTTCAACGATGAGCCAAGTTTTATTTCAATGTTAATTGAGATTTTTTAATAGGATGATCATGCCTGATAGGCAGGTGGCTGTTATAAATTAGGTAGAAAAGTCCACTGTGGGTATGTAATAACTGATACATGACCTACAGAATCTGCTTCCCATGTCTTAAATGATATTGTAATCTCATTATAATACCCTGTACAATAGAACTAGTCGAGATAAATAAAAACCACGCGATAAAATATTGCCACTTCCAGAAACTCCGCCGATCACGGTTTACCCAAGTTTTGTGATTTTTGTTCATTGTGCTAAATCGCATGACGTACAGTTCAGTTTCATTCGTGCCTTCAGGCTGTAAAAGAGGTATAAAATTCGGCATTCACCACCCAATGTTAACCATGTATACCCGTCATTCATAGAAACATCAGGTTTTAGAGATGATTTGCACATGTTGCTCAATTTGTACCGCCTAATCAGAGAACTCCATGCAACTACGCGGAGCACTTTAGGTACTTGCAGAACGGAAACGTATCAAATTGCCGGTGTTCATTGTTTGACATTACTCTTGTTTTCTGCTAACAGATGCAATGAAAACATGGAATGAATTGGGTCTTATTCCCCGACATCAGGGTGATACTAATAGTCACCTAGCTAATAAACAGATATTTGTTTTTGCAAAAGTGTATGTAGGTAGTTCGCCTAGTTTCAACAGTCCCTCTAACTCTTAGATTTTTGCGGTTAAGTTAAGAAAGCTCGTGTAAGACCGAGGCCAACTTCTTCAACTGCTGTCATCTTAATGGTGGACAGACAACAATGTCATTTTACGCACTTGACTGCCTGGTAAATGAATTAAACTGAAGCTTCTAAATAAGGCCACTTGTAATTCTTAGTTGAATTTCTCCGTAATCGTTCTTTGTTTATTTTGGCGCTTCCACTAATAACTGAAGCAAACACGTAAACATTTAACATATCGTATGCTCGTCTCTCGTTGGAACAAAGGACATTTGGACGCATTTTCTTTAGTGGCTCGGTTCACTGTCACTTCGATACAGCAGTACCTAGGTAACACTACAGGTATATGTTAAGTCTCCTTTGTCTGTGATTCTGACACATTTGTCCATGCTATTGAAAAACACTGCGGCTGAACTCATAAGTTAGAAACGTATGACCTCATCAGAATTGACCGTATCAAATCCCACAAGCATATCAAGACCTTTGAGCACAGGCTTTGCTAAACATGAGATTATGAAGAGCAACAGTGTGAAGTTATAGACTAATGAAATTAATAACTGTCGCTAATACTCCAACCACTGATTGATAGGCTTGTAAAGTGGTACTTACAGAAATAGTGTTTTCCAATAGGATGTGAAATACAGAGGATTGTGTGAGGCATGACATATATTCAAAAATAAGCTTAAATGAGCCTAACATCACAAAAGGAGGGAGTGTGGAGTTACTGACCAGCAAGCATTGATGGTGAGGGCTATGACTACAATCCACCTGTGTTTGTGTGGCAGAACATTTTGCATGTATCAGGCTATTTATGATTGAGAATAAGTCAATCAATCTGTGATATACGTTGTCTTTCTACGCTCACCTCTCAGACTCATTTTTCCAATTTTATGCTGGATTAGCTATTCTACTAAGACAACCTATAACACGCTAACTCGGACTTTTACACTAGGATTGTGTGGCTGGCATCGAATGGACATTAAAAGAAAAGAAAGAAAAACTCAGAAAATAAAAGATATAGTCATTAGTATTCTTAACACTCCGCCATCTACATGCACATTCCCATCTAATAAACGCTTTCCTTGATTTTGCTTCCTTCATGCGAGCTTACTCCAACTTCTTAAACGAAACAATTCATTGTTCTTTATTACTGTAGAATCCAAACTACGGTTTGGATGCTGAAGAATAACCGTCCAGGTACGTTAGACACGCGCCCTTTCCCGTCAAAATCAGAACAAGTAATCGGGTAACTAGCGGTTCTATAATTCATAATAAATTTAATGTAAATCATTACCTAAACAAATATTATCACCCGGCTATTCAACCAATGATTGTTCAATCAATTAAATCTAAATTACAATAATAAAGAAGTTGATAGAAGATGAGGAAAAATTACCAATCACAACAAATCAACGTTATTCTATCCTGGCTGGATAGATCACACACAACAGGAGGAACAAATCAATATGGCTACCGCCAAGAACAAGTGTCAAGTAAAACAACACAGATGCAGTTCAGGAAGAAACACAAACTTAGTGAATGCGTAAGAAAAACAAAAACTATAATAAAAAATACAAGTATTAACAACTCAAATGTAATCAAAATACAACAATGTACAACTAAGGGAATCAATAGGAACAAAGTACAAGTATATACATGGAGGGATTTTCACCAACACACAAAACCTTCAAAATGGATCTTACAATTACTGAATCCATTTAAATCTAACAAGAGATAATATGAATTTAATCCAATTTATTATACCACTGTCTGTTCCACTACACAATGCTAAGCAACGTTTGGCGTTCATATCCAAGCACCTTGCTGCTCTTCTGCTTCTCTTTTTCTTTTCTTCAGAATCTTGCTCTGAGAGCACAGCCATGAAACTTCTGACGTCTGGAACAAACTTGACGTACGCGTCTCCTCAAGTTCGTGGTTTACAGCAAGCGCTCTACGAGTCCACTTTATGACAACTATAAACTTATTAATTTGGAAAGTATGCTGTGCGCCAACTAATGTTGTAATTTATAGATCATGCCTGTAAAAATGGCGTGTACCTGCTCATGCAGAAATATATTATAATTACTATTATCTGTTAACAGTAAGGATTAATGGGCGTACGTTGAAAATGGAATTGACAAAAACATGTCTCTCGAAAATCGAAATATGGGGGACAGAGTCTCAAGACGAAGCCCCTTAATTTGATCAAACATCCCAGTGTTGGAGAGTATTTTAATAGAGCGTCATCAAGTCGTTGACAAAATACACCGGGACAAGCAGTATATAATTCTGGGACAAAGTAACACTGCAGCCAAGCTATGTCGCAACGTGGTTAGAAATACACAACCTCCACCGAGATCAACTTTGGATTCAGCACACACCAGAGAGAAACGTTCACTGACATCTCAGAAATCATCTGTTAAGCGATCCTAACAAATCCGGGTTAGACACAACAAACAGTGGACACTGAGAGAAGCCGGCAAACAACCAGAAGCGAACCAACATGAAGGTTCTTGCTCTGTCTGAGCCAATGGTCCGTAGTCGAGATTAGGCCCACGAACACAATGTGCAATAATGGGGTTGATTATTATGCAGCACAAATTTCCACACCACTTTATCTGTTACATCTTACTACAATTGATTATCCACGTCTGATGGCTGTTAACTTCGGAAACTGAGAGGGCGTCTTTAAAGACATGCGCAGCTCGATAAAAGAACCACTCCTGTCACATCAGGTGTCGTGAAAGCCAACCTAAAACGGTAGGATAACAGCCAATAAAACCCATTAAAACACATTTTGTCGTTATTTGACATTGATCAACACCCCGCGGTAGTGAATGCGGAGACCCCTATCATTCGAGTGGAACATGCTATACGGGCAAGAAACCCACAGTGACCAGTTCAAACAAAACTAGCCATCATACATAACATGCTTAAAAACCAGAAGGCTGATGCTGCTGTAGAGGAGCAATCGGTGATGAGAAAAACTATCGAATAACTCTGCATCAACGTGAGACGATTGGAGGAAAAACTAGGATAAATCGGAAACAGATTGTTTCAGTTATATCTGAAGATCATAGTCCTACCTCAAAGATGGCTATCATTTAACGTCATAGATGAGGACGTGAGCTTCCATGGCACTACACTTTTGAGATAAGATAGAGCGCACAAATAGGAGGTGGAGTGGCGATATATATTGAAAGTAACATCCAAGCCTTAGCATCACACAGTGCCCCATTACCAAAAGTGGCAGAATCATGCTGGTGTCGCCGCAATTTAAATGAAACAGAGTGCTTGACCGGAAGAATAAACTGGTCTCACACAGGTCCTAAAACATAAAATGGTAAGGTATGAGCAAATAAAGTTACCATGCCCAGTGTCCATTCAACTAATACTTCTTTAAGACTTCCACGCACCATCCATAAATTTCAACAAACAGTATACAATCTCTGTAGGTTTGCGGCTTGGTATAGCCACTAGAAGTGTAGGACTTATCGAACATATAGGTAGAGTCACGAGATGTGACAGGGACGGAAAACACTGTAACTCAGGGTGCTTACTGACAAATATTCAGCTTTCAGTTGGGGATGTCCATGTCGACACATCAATAGGAAG